ATGTTAATTTGCCAAAACATTCATAGATATGCTATTTTTTAGCTATCAATGATTGAATGGAAGACCTGATGAGATGAGCATCAAAAAGTCTCATATATACAGTACATCCGTTGTACTGAGTATATCTGTTATACTCACAGGCCAATCTTTTTATAAGATTGAAAACAATTTCATTCATTGAAATTGGCTGTTATCTTCTCATTCTCTTAATCTGAATAGATTAAACAAGTGGATTTGCAAAGATCTACTTACATTTTCTTGAATTGACGGCTTACGCGGAAAATTTCATTCATCTTATATATGATGGAATGATTCTCATTTCATCATAAGGGGGAGTATGTAATAATGAATGAAATATTCATTTCCGAACATTACAAAGGGAATTTGATGTAAAGATCAAGGAGGAGTAACTTCGAAATTGGCAAAAAAACTCAAAAGAAGAAGTGCGACTGAAGATAATTACAGAAAGATTATTCATGTGCTACAATGACTGAGAGATGTTGAATGTGAAGATCATCTTTAGAACAGTTTACTGAAGATTAATTCTGAATATTCTTTGAAGATCAAATCTTGTACATTGCTTCTAATGATTACTGTTCTACATTATCAAAAGAGAAGATCATTGTTGTTCTACATTCGAGGGGGAGAATGCTAGAAGATCTTTCTCAACAAGTTGATTGCTTAAAGATTTCAAGTTGAAGAATTCTTTTGAAGATGACATAATGTGCTTAAAGTTTCAAAGTTCAAACAGGACTCAAAGCGCAGAATTTTTTTTCAAGTCTGAATACAAAGGGGGAGATTGTTAGGTGTAACGCCCCCAGAACCCCGTAGCAATGATATTGTCCGCTTTRACTAACCTGCCCGCTATACCACAAAGCAGTAGTCGCACGGTTTTGTTTCTGGCAGCCGCACAACGCAAGCCCCAAAACCGGTCATGCTAGGATGAGGTATCCACACCCTTATAAGGAGTGCTTTGTTCACCTCACCAACCGATGTGGGACGGGATGTTACATTAGGACTGAAAATCAGTATTAAATTGTATTCGTCTTGAAAGTTAAATAGTGTCTATAATTGTAAAAGTCATCGTGTTTGACTTTTCTTATAGGAGTTTGACTTTGACTATGTTTAGAAGTTTGACCCTATAAATAGGGTGATGTCTTTGTAAATCTTGTAAGAGAGCTTCATTTGTAAGATTCTGATTACGTAATAAGAGGGTTTGACCAGAGCTTTGAATGTTGACTTTCTCTCTCAAATATCATCATATGTGTTCTTGAATGATAAATCTTAGATCTGCCATTGTTATGAAGCTTCCTTGAAGATTGATCATTGTAGTGGGACTATCACAGATTATTCAAACTTCTTGCGCCTCCAATCACACAAAATTTTTGAAGAAAAATGGATCTCCACTATGGTTAAATCCGTCGTTTTTTTTGTTACGCTCCCATTCAAACAAAACGAAGATGTTAACCTCACAAGAGCAAGCCATCCGGGCATGAATCCAGATCACTACCAGCTTGCAACTCAAGAGTGTTCAAAACTGATAAGCCAAGATCTCATAGAGTCAACCACATCGCCATGGACCCGTGAAGCATTCTACGTCAACAAGAGGAGTGAACAAGTTTGTGGCAAGCTTAGGCTAGTCACAAATTATCAACCCCTCAACCAGTTTTTAGCTGATGACAAGTTCCCTCTACCACATAAGAAGTCACTATTCCAGTCTCTCACAGATGCAAAGGTTTTGTCAAAATTTGATCTCAAAGCTGGTTTTTGGCAATTAGGATTAAGTCCTGATGACAGACCAAAAACTGCCTTCTGCATCCCAGACCATCACTACCAGTGGAAAGTAATGTCGTTCGGTTTAAAAAATGCTCCATATGTCTTCCAAAAGGCAATGATAAGGATTTTTTAACCTATACTCAACAACACTCTGGTATACATAGATGATATCCTTCTGTTCTCACCAGACGAAAAATCTCACATAGATTTATTCACTAGGTTTCATTCCATTGTCAAAGAGCATGGGATCATGTTATCCGAGAAGAAGATGGAAATCGGAGTAAGTTTTACTGATTTTCTTGGAATGAAAATTTCTGATGGACGATACCAACCACAGCCTCACATTGCTCAAGAACTACACAAGTTCCCGAGAATATTGACGTCACAAAAAGAAATTCAACAATTTCTTGGGCTAGTAAATTATATGGCAGATTTTTTGCCTAAACTATCGAGGCACACTGTGCATTTATTTCCCCATGCTGAAAAAAGATCCGCCCCTTGGAGTAGGAAACAAACGTTAGCTATAGAAAAGATAAAGCAACTAGCTGATGTGATGCCTCCTTTAAAGATTCCTACTATTTTTGACAAAAGGATCTTCCAGACTGACGCAAGCGATAAGTAATGGGGGGCAGTCCTAATAGTTCAAGACAAAACTAGTGTTAGAACAATTTGTGGATACAAAAGCGGCACGTTCAAAGAATCAGAGCAACACTACAACTCTACCTTCAAAGAGATCTTAGCGATCAAAAGAGGAATAGAAAGATTCCAATTCCATCTAATCGGTCATGATTTCCATATTGAAATGGATATGTCTTCCTTCCCATGCATGCTTCATTTCAAAAGAAAGATACTCCCAGAAGTCCAACTTTTGAGATGGGCAAATTGGTTCTCTCAATGGAAATCCACTGTGAAACATATCAAGGGGTCATAAAATATTCTAGCAGATTTTCTGTCCAGACCAAAGGGCTATAAATATGATGTCCCAAAAGACATCCAAACAATCCACAAAGCCAAGGTCCTTCCAATGGTGCTTCATGTAGAGAAAGAAAGCTCTTCCAGCTCGTTTATTCCAATCACTTCTCAACCTCCACACCATGTCGATCCATCTGAAAGTACCACAACTCCACCATAAGTCCTACCAGATGAGATTACAGAAACAATCGCTGACCTCACCTTAAGAGAAAGGTCCCAATTGAATTACAAAACGTTCTTCACTATCACACTAAAAAAGCATGACATGTTCATGAGAAACCTCTAGTTTCATCTGGATTACCCGTTCCTAAATGTCTTCCACATCCATGACTTACATAGGTTCCCGAAAGAAGCCCTTTGTTTCATTTGGTATCTATTCGAGTCTCACACCATCACAATATCATTCAACTCGGCCAAACTACTCAGCTATATTTTCCAATGTGAGTTTGAAAGTCCACCCCTAGGGGAAAAGAATGTGTTAACCCTTCTCCAGTGGTTCCTCCCAGCGCATCAATGGATTTAACAATTAGCTGTTTGCTATAAGGCATATGTTGTGATCATGTTTAGGAGGCGCTGTCCTTTTCTACCTCATACAGCTCTTTGACAACAATAATCGTTGGTCTACCACTCTCCATTATCATTCATCCACGAATGAAATGACAACAACCCAGGCAGTAAGTACTTCGAATTATCCCATCCAGGAAAGTATATGGAAAGAAGGCGGATTCTAGCAGTGCTAACCTAGTTGATCCAAATTCGATCCCAAAGCAAATTATGAACAATGAAAAACTCTGGTCTTCCGAATATCCAGTCTCTGCATCATGGGACAAAGAACTTGAACATTGGTTCCAGACTCATCTCACGAAGAAAATAGACACTTCCGATGAAGAAGACTTTGATGAAGACGACGAGCATTTTGACTCCGGAGAAAAACTGCACAATCCTTACGAAGACGATCCATCTCATCTTGACTCTCGTTGGAAATAATTATCGTAGAATAATATTAGTAATTGTCTTTTATAAAAGACAAAATAAAGTTGTAATAATGATGTAAGCTTGAAGTCACTTTTTTGTGGTGTAAGCGCTTACCTCATTTAGTTTGTTCATTATCTGGTATTATTACTTGCTTTTGTCATGTTTTTTTAATGCTTATGCAGGGGTACCTTTTCCTTCCCTATAGGATGAAAAAAAAATGTTAAAGCTACTTTAAGTTGCCATGTCAATATTCATATTCAACCAGTGGACTTAAGGGCATTTTCTCGAAGTTGAGAAGGACACTCATCCATAATTGGGCTTTCGGTATCTCAATGTAACGCAAATAACTAAGCATGGCATAAACTATCCCCTTGTAGTAGCATGGAATGAAAACAAATCTCTGCTTCTAGCAAACCCTCTCGAGCATACGTCGATGTCATTCAAATTTATGTGTTATGGTTTATATTTAAGTTAATCATACTTTAACATTTTTAAAAATAGATGTTATGTTGAAAAATTTGGGTTTAGGTGATGAAAGTACATCAATTTAGACATGGATAAATTCTTGAACGTGAAATGAATCACTTTACAAAATAATATTTCATCCCAATTTCAGCCTTGGATAACACGAAATTCAATTTGGGATGATCTAAATTTTCAGTTTGGACTAAAAATCAAGAGTCAAACACAAATTTTGTTGAGTATTTCATTTGTTCAAAATTTGAGACCAACTCTAATTATATGAGGAGTTTATCGACAAATTATTTTATCTAGAAGGTGATTGCACTAGATCAGACCTGTGTCAGTTTAGAAGTTAGTCCTATAAAGATTTCCTTCTAAAATTTTGTCTTCTAAAGTTACTCTTAAAAAATTGGCCATTAAAGGCTAGCAAACTGAACATCATATAGCCTTCATTTTCTAAACTTAAGCTTCAGAACGTCGGTTGATCGAATTTTCATCTTCTGAACTATATCCACTTTCTAAACTTAACATGTGTCAGTTCAGAAGTTAGTGCATACCCATCCATTTTATGAACTTACCTTCTAAACATAGCAGGACCACCACATGCCACTAAAATTTAACATTTCAAACAAACTTAAACACTTACCTTTTGCCTTTACACAAGTAATCAAAAGTCACAAAAACCCGATATTTCTTGCAGTTGATCAAACTTTTGTTGTCTTCGTGTTCATGTTCTTTCCGCTCTGTAAATAAGGAGCAGTTTGCTATCTACTTCTATTCACAATCACTTCTGTTCTAAAGCTTGCTATTTAACATAAAAAGAATCGTTAAATTGCCTAAATTAAAAACTAGACCAAAGTATTGTTATGATGGATTTTTTAGTCCAAGTTGGAAATATTGGATCCATCACGACCATAGATTAACAATAAAGAAGTTCATTAACCAAAAGGTTCACATTTGAGTTTGCCTAGAGCTAGAGCCTAGAAGTATGCCCAGAGATATTAAAGAGTTTCTGTCATTGCGCAAGTCACAATTTGGTGTTGATATACCAATTGCGATATAGGGCTTAGGCTAATATAGGGTACAATGATGAACTCACGTTGCATCGAGAGTCATGTGGCTTTGAATTTTGATACTGTCAAAAGAAATAGAGGAATATTTAAAAAAAAGAAAAGAAAATCAAACCAAATCAAATCAAATGAGCCCAGTAAATATCACACAAAGTAAGGTCTAGAGAGGATAAAATATATACAGACCTTTCCACTACCCCGAAGAGCGTTAAAGACTAAGTAGATGTGGGTTACATCATGCTAAAGAGATAACGATGAACATCAAAACTAAGTAGATACAGTCCTATATCTTAACAAAGAAGTAACTTGTGCTTGTGCTCCACTAGAAAAGTAGTATTACTATGGGCTAATGAGCAAATAATGGTTTCAGGATAGTACAATTAAGACTCTTGTTGAGTTTGAGCCTGGAAACAACAAGAAACTGAGACTTCTACCTGAAGACTTGAGAATCCAGTTATGAAAGGGGAGAAGGTGTGCCTTCTCTCAGAAGTCACAACTTTACAAACGTAAGTCCTTTATTTTTATTTTTATTTTTTTTTGTTGGGTGTCTGGGCCTGCTTGAGCGTACTTGGACTAATCCATGAGTCCTTGAAGATAACAACATAAGTCCTTTAGAAGTCGCTCTAGGGGTCATCCTTCCTTTTCCTGCAGCACATTATTTCCACCTTTAGTTTCCATCTGTCTGAACATCATCAAGATTTATATCCAGATTTATTTGTGTTCCTTGAGAAGATTTCAGCAATCTCTCATGGATAAACGGCTCTGCAGGCTCCTCTCCGATGAACTTGTTTATTCCTTCTCTACCAAGTACCATATCCTGTAAATACTGCGCATTTGCAGCGCCTGTACTTTGAACCATCTTAAAAAATGCTCCTTCATGTGATATTAGTCTTTCTGGAGAATCATATTCCAGAATCTGAAAAGGGCAGATGAAATGGACTATAAATTCATATTTAAGAGATTGAATATAGAAACTTCACTCAAACTACATCATGGAATCATCAGATTTTTAAGGGATGACATTTGATGGAGGCATACTTGACCGTTCTCTAGCACAAGAATTCGATTGCAGTCAATGATGGTGTTGAGTCGATGAGCAATAATGAGCATTGTGCATGATTTGAATTCTTTTCGTATTGTTTTCTGTATTAGATCATCCGTTCTGACATCAACAGCTGCAGTTGCTTCATCAAGAACAAGAATCTTTGATTTCCATAGCAATGCCCTAGCAAGACTCAGTAGTTGTCTTTGTCCAACACTGAAATTCTCCCCTCCCTCGGATACCTTCAAATGAATCCAAGTACATATTAGTATACTACTAGCATTATGTGAGATATGCGAAACCCCATCAGATTACTCTCAAAAAGAGACCTCAAGGGGAGAATGAGAGTTCCAACATATATTGAGGACACAACGCAAGACCCCTACACGCCCCCTCCAATTGAGGCTAGATGGGTACAGACGCCCCAGAATGTCAAGTCCCTTAGGTTGCGTTTGGTACATGGGACTGGACAAGACAAAACTCACAGTTCCACATTTGGAGCGACATGGGACAGGCACAGGGACTGGGTGACTAAATGGGACAAAAGAAGCTACTTTTTGTTCCACCAAAATGGGTGGAACAAGAAGAAATAGGGATGGGATGAAACTAAAATTCATTTGAATAACTCTAATATGGTATTTGCTTTTATGGCCACCACCTCCACCGGTGACGGCAGCCACCAGCAGCCACCACTGACCACTGTTGGCATCTTGCACAGTCCAACCCTGTCCATTCCTAGTCATGCTAAACACTAGATAAACAACTTGTCCAGTCCTGTCTGGATACCAAACGCTACCTTAAAGTGGTAGCTCTTGGCTATGATACCATGTGAGATATGAGGAACCCCATAAGATTACACTCCAAAAGAGCTCTTCATGAGAGGGGGGGAGGGTTCCAACATATATCGAGAGCAAGGGTCCACGGCTAGCCGATGTGGGACTGACAATTTACAAAGTCAAATCAACATTGGGTACCAACAATTCGTATGACCTCATTGGTGCATGTGCAATATTGAAATTCACATGTACAAACAGCATATTTTCAAATGTGGTATTGTTGACAATAAGTGTTAAAATAAGTTGCAAATATTTGTCATTGTATGTTTAAGTATAGGATCATCCATTTAAAACCAGTTGTTCCCGAGATGGAAACCCTAATGTCCAATATGGAAAGACAGAACTATAAAATGGGGATATGATCTTTTGCCACATCCATTAATAGGCAATGATTTTGAGTTCAAACTCCATAGGTCTAATCATTATGTCACAGAAGAAAAATAGACAAGTAGTTGGCTGGTAATTGTGGTGAGAATACTTTTTTTCTTCATTTTTAGGCCTGGATTATATCACCACTTTAACCAAAGGGACCTAAAGATAAATGAAACTAGCAAATTACATCATACCTTCATGGTATAAAAGCATCAAAGAGTAAAATAAGAAGCATACCGCCGCATCCAAACCCAACGCATTTCTGGCAATCACATTCTTCAAATATGAACGTTCAAGAGCCTCCCAAAGATCAACATCACCATGTTCATTAAACGGATCAAGATTAAAACGCACCGTGCCTAGGAAACAATGGAAGATCAGTAAATTGAAATATATAATGATTGGATGATTTCTTACCTAATGCTTCAGTAATAAATGAACATAAAATCGGCTATAGTAACTTTCTTGAGAATTACATAAGAATATTATGTACATTGATTCATAGATATACTATCCATTTACCAAATCCCCATATCCCTACATTTTGCCAATATTTATCTCAAACTTAACTATGAAGCCGCCAACCAAAATCCAAAGCACGGATGTTTATAAATGAGAAATAGTAGAACTTACATACTTCTGAAACTTTTCAAAATCAAAGCCATCCTCCTCCAAGTCTTTAACAACAGTTTTACATTGGTCAAAGAATACATTAATAATAAAGAGCAGAAATTTTCATGTTATACGGTGGCGTGTTGGATAAAACAGTTTATAAGAACCGAGGAATGAATGGAACTACATTTGTATTGTGAATCCTGTGCATTATATAAACCATACCTGAAAAGAGAACCGGTGATTGTGGTATAATACCAAGAACTTTACGCAAATCTGTCAAACCAAAACTGGAGATATCATAATTATCGATCAAGATTCTTCCTTTTTCTAGCTCGACCATCCGAAACAACGCATTGATCATGGTAGATTTCCCTGCACCAGTCCTTCCAACTATGCCAACCTTTTCTGTCGGAGAGATTGTGAACGACAGGCCATGCAAGACAGGTGGAAGACCAGGTCTATAGCGAAAGCCGACATTTTCAAATTCTACTAAACCTGATGAGGGCCATCCAGGTGGAGGGCGGTTGCTCTCAATTATAGATGGAGCCTCAGATGGCAAGTCTATATATGTGCCCACACGTTCAACGGCATTGAAACTGTTTTCTGCTCTACTTGCTTGTCTCAGAACATTACTCATAAGATTCGTAATATTCAAAGAATAACTGAGGAGCAAGCCAATTGTAGATGCAAAAGCCACCTGATCATGCGTTCTTCCAGACTGCATGACAGCAAAGGTAGCCGTGAACCAAATCATTATACCTCCTAATGTTTCTAGTCTTATGGTGAGCCAACGATTAGAACTGAAGTTTATAAGAGTGAATCTAATATTGTTATCCAATGATTTCCCATTAATTGTGGCCATACGATCATATGCTTTGTAAGCACGGATACTTGACAAACCATTTAATGCTTCGCCAAATTGCGCATACACAGGGGATCTGGTAATGGAGTCCAAGCGCTTGACTTCCCGTGATGTGCTCTGCAAAGCATTTATGAATTTGATCTCATTATACCTCATAAATGTAACGTGAACATAGCTAATGTCACACTAAGATCTGAGTTACTCAAAGATTGTCAATTAATTTGCATCAATATAAACAACTCGATTAAAGCTATTTATACAGAAATGATGATTGAAGGTTTCCTTTACATGTTATAGTAGTGAAACTACAAAACTGCGGTCAGGACCGATAAATAGCGGTAGTATAGCGGTCCAAAAATAGCGATTCATATAATATTTCTTAGAATTATATATATATATATATATATAATATGTATGTATATATATATATATAATATGTATGTATGCATACATAAACGTATCATATGCATTAATTAAAAATAAAGTTTCAACATCAAAACATCAACTTAAACAAGTTTCACAAAACAAAATAGGAAAAGTGTTGATAAACGAGCTAATCGCAAGCAACAGGTTCAGCATCCGAGTCAACAACATCTAATACATCACTTCTTCGTTTAGGCTAGCTTTCCAATCTTCCCTTCATCTCCAACGTGATCATCATCATCATCCCTATAGCACTCCCTTTTACTTGTTGTACTTGGCCCACTTGTTTTAAAGAGGCCAAACGCTAAAATATTGGAATACTGGTCCACAATTTCACCTCAAATAATGGTCAAATATTGGTCAGTGCGCCGCTAATATCGGAAACGCAATTGTCACCGCAATTTTACCTTAGTCCGCAATCCGCTATTGGACTGCTATTGCAGTGCAATAGCGCCCCGATTAACAGCATAGGATATCACCGTGATACCATTGTGTGACCAACTATGATACCAACCCAAACCTTAAAAACAAAATCAAACCCATAATCTGAATTTAATCGATGACCGTAATGATACCCATTGAGATACCATTGTAAGTTTTCCAGATCTATGTGCGATGTAGATATAGGTTTAAAGAAAAATCATGTTGTTCGATTTTTCTGGAGGAGAGCTGTTGACGATAGAGATGGGAGGTGTAGAAAACCTTGGTGAACTGAAACTCGCCGGTACCATTATGGCCGGAGATAGTACCACCAAAGAGTGGTTGTTACAGGTGGGATAATGGATTTACGGGAGTCTCACCTGGTTCGAAGCAAATGTAGTTTGCGTGTCGAAGATAAGGGGAGAGAGATGGTTCGGTTAGAGATCTGATGGCAGAGTACGTTGGTTCGGATCTGACTTTTGCGCTAGAGATAAGGGGGAGAGATGGATGTTGACCCTTTGTGCCAGAGATGAGAGGCCAGTGAGGGTCATCTGTTACCATTGCAGTGTGGGGGGAGAAGGATTTCGCCGGAGATGTTGTAAGGGCGCGGTTCATAGACCGGAGGCCGAGGTAGGATGCTGGAGGAGATGACAGATTTGTGGTTGGCGTGTTTTTCTCACCGCGGGGGAGGGGAGGAGAAAGACAGGGATAGTGGTCGATAGTAATTAGGGAACTTTTTCCGTCAAAGGGTGTCTCCGGCGATTCATCATCCCGACGATTTTGTCCCTGTGACTATACACACACACACACATATATGTATATTAAACTAATTAAAGTAAATTGAATACTCAACACAATTTTACTAATTTACCCTTCAACTTATTTTAAGAAATCATACTAATTATTTTGAATGATCGATTCACGTTGGATCTCACGGTTAGCACAAACTAAATAGTTCTCATTTGATTAGGCCCCTACATATATATCTAGTTGTAGGTATAATAAAGGATCCTCCAGTTATCCACCTTATTTATATCTTCACCGGGCATTAGTTAGCACTCACCTAACTGTTGATTTCTATGATTGGTGCAAAGGGGCAGGGTGGCTATCGTAGGTGGTAACTTGTGGCTATATTGTTTAAAGCTTCAACTTGATCTCTAATATCATGGACGTAAAGAATTTATTCTTAGTGAAGCAATACCACGTATATATAGTGTATAGGATGGTTGAAGTCATGGATAAATAAATATATTAAAACCTAATAATACTAACTTGACTACACCCAGATGGCACAATTCATTGTTTGAAAAGCATAGCATGTGTAGAACAGAAACTGTGTTCAAACATGTACGAGAACTACAAACAGTCCCAAATGAATAATATCTGAAACTCTTTTAAACAAACATCCAAACATAACAGTTTAGTGCACACCTTTTCCGATAACCAATGATGGTTTTATTTCTATTATAGAGGTTAAATCTACAGCCATGTCTTTGGTGGAAGCCCAATTAATGCACTTCGTATGGGAGTCAAGTATCGGCTAGTAGACCTCTTTTTACCAACTCATAGCTTGATGCAGTTCTATTTATAAATGAAATCTCTATGTTACATCTTCAAGAATTTAAGTCATTGTGATATGTGTTTCCGTCACTAGCTTCTTGTTATCAACATAAATAAAAAATATTTCATGTTTTAGAGATTCTTCTAATAGATGATCCAGAGAATAATAACATGCTTGAATTGAAAATATTAGAGATGGAATAAAGAAACAGAAAGGGTAATAAGATGGATACTAACCTGATAGTACAGGTAGGCTGTGTAAAACAAGAGAAGAAGAGGCATTATGGCCCACAAAGATATTATGCTCACAATGCCAATAAGCACGAAAGTTGAAAGTAATTGCCAAACTTGATTCAGAAAATTATTGGCAAGATTAGCAACATTACGATCTATATCACCTAGATCATTTGCAAACCTATTGATCATTCGTCCAAGTGGATTGGTTTGGAAAAAGGTTGTGGGAGCTCTAAGAACTGAATACAGCATTGTATCATGAAGTCTTTTAGCTGCACGGAGACTTGATGAAATTAACCAGAAAGAATTTGCAAATGTTACCAGTACCTGCATGCAGCATATGGCGGAGTAAGCATACACTGTCTGCTTCCAGAAAATAACCATACAAGAACGGTAACTTTTTTGCTCCAGATTAAGACAATTAAACAAGAAATACACTCAACATCATCATGAAAATCAAATCCAACAAGCCTATGGTCTCAAACTAGAAACAACGATATGAGGAAATTTCTAATAAGAAAGATTGGCAAGAGGGCTTGATAAACATGTCAAAAAGTAGCAAGAATAAGTTAATTTATTGGACTTCTACTAAGGTATAAGTATTTGGCACTCAAAGTACGATATGCGAAATTGAAGTGGATAGGGGGACTTTTCTTCATTTTCACCATAACATTTCATATGGGACCCATTTTCAGCTTACCATTAACATGTTGAAAATAGATAAATTTTCAGGGGTGAATATATATTTAATTATAAATCAATGGACACTTTTACATTGCAAATGAAGAATACTGCCAGTTGCAAATAAAATTATCTATAAACATAATATAATGACTTGATGTAAAAGTATGATACAAAAAGGAAAAATTGATTCCGTCAACAGTTTGAGTGGACATACCTGTCCAATGGACAAGAGGGCATAGATCAGAATGTAGAAACCAGGTCCACGAGTTGTTGAACTGCTTTGTTCTGTCCAGTAACTTAACCATGTGCTACTTAAAATTCGAAGCACTTCAGTTGAAATATAGCACGCCACTAATATCAGGACAACCCATAGACCTCCTAAAGCATCCTGGTACCTGTAATAGAGACAATGGGTTCACATATAGTAAGTAGTAGGTCCTGTACATCTGTTACAGGTTGGGGGATAAACTTTCCCCCCAAAATGGAGACATAATGCCTCAATTAAAGATAGTTTTTATTGAACTTCCTACACTTCAAAAGGATGATTGTACAATAAACTAATCATTGTTGTTAATTTGTTTCAGTCCATGCACGTGGTAACAACTAAAGATAGTTTTCATTGAATCCTTGACATTCAATCAGTGAAGTGGCCAACAACCCATGACAACTAGCAATAAGAAGCCAAGCAGAATCGTCACACAAAGACCCCCTAAAGTTCCAAGAAATCACTACACTTCTTCAACCATAAACCAATTATGAGTGCCCTTTTAACCTTGTAAGAGTTTCCAAAGAGCCTCAAATGTTATAGAAAGCGACTGGTCCCTTCACTGTTTAAAATTATAAAAATAATCCCTGCATTTCCCAAAAACGTCGCATAGTTCCTGAACTTTTCGTGAGTTCCAAAACATTATATGACCTGTTAATCCCAATTGTTCCAATGAACAGAAACAGTGCTCTATGATCTTTTCTTATCACCGTTTGAACCTGAAAAGTTCCTAGAGGACCAAAAAAAAGCATCTACCAAGCGAAGCCGTCAAATAAAAATATTAACCAAAAAAAATACCAAGCAAAGGGACCATAAACTTAGCAGTTAGCAGCAAACAATATCAAAGCAACCTGACCAATTTCAAACTGAATAGTGAATTATCCAAACAAGAGCGGCAACTAATTCGAAAATTTGAAACACCAAAATCCTTATGAAATCAACTAGAGTTCAAACACAAGACAAACCTTGAACTAGAGCTTAGCAAACAGGTCAAGAGCACAGAGTAAAGCTTATGAGGCCATAAAAAAACATACAAACGAGATCAACGAGAGACAGAAAACCGTCAACTGTAAGCATAGTATTCATGAGATTTCAGTTACTTGACCATATTAGTTAGGAGGACAATTATCTATGAGCTAGACATTCAGATATTGCATATCGTATGAGTGCAGTAAATCAATTTATATCTGCTTGTGTCAATGGATGCTGTTCTCTGTATTTGGAGGAACCTCAACAGAGCTCCATGGAGAGGTATCTGATATCCCACATTGGGGACACTCATATAGGAGGGATTTGACTTATATCGTTGGATTTTCATATGCACATTTGTATCCAATTATATGGAAGTCCACAAGATGACTATTGTCTTTTCTGGTGTCAACTTTGTCTCTTTGGAGCCAACAAACATGCAGCAGTTCTTCAATCTAGTGTACAACTAGAATAAGATCACGAAAATCACATACGGGATGACATAGACTGCTATCAGTCTACTATTCATATAGCATCAGGGATTTCACTAATTTACCAAGCACATAAAAGTTCATTGTCATGTTGTACTTGACTAAATTGTAGGAAGTCCACAAATCCTCCATCTATCCGACCTGTCATACCTGGACTCGTTAGCAATTGGGTGATACCCTTGCTTAAAGGTTACGGAAGACCCAAATCAATTTTATCTGTAGCAAGTTGGCCTCGATAGATGCTTATACTCCAATTTGAGAAATGTGGTTTCTATTGTTTCACTTTAGCCTTCATCAAGATTTCCTGTGTGTATTATTCTCTTCCGTGTGCTTATTTCATATACTGCATTTAAAAACAGGGCTCTTCCACACAATAATTTTCACTTGAACCCCAGAAACTTGACAGCACACGAACAAGGTATGGGTGACATGCACTAAAGTAGGAAAGCTAATGGTTATCAGATACAGCTATCAAAAGAAAAAGATTTTGCCGGTTGTCTGGGAGTTGACATTGGATTTTCATGAAGCCACTTTGACCATCAAGGTTTGATGATTTTGTGAGACCATGGTGAGTCATTTTAAGTTCAGGGGCTAGTAAAACGTTTTAATTTCATTTACAGCAGAAATTATATGTCACCACCAAAAATCATAAGAAACAAGGGAGAGGATACATGTAAAGTTACCTTGCTAACACTTTCCAGCTAACAATGCCAGTTTGCCTATCTTCTTGTCTGATAAGAACAGACTTACGATTCCTTTTTGTTGTGATGCTTGGATCATTTACCAACTCATCCACCACCTCATCAGTACACTGTTTTGAGGATCCGTGGTCAGGATTGGTTCTGCCTTTGCTTCCATCCATGTGATCATCCATTTTACCCACTTTCTCCATTAACTTCCGAAATAGAAACCCATTTTGTGAGAGCTCCTCAAAGGTTCCTTCCTCTTTGATCATACCTTCTGAGACCAAAATAATTTTATCCACCTGAGGAAGAAAATGTAGCTGGTTTGTAACAAGCACTCTTGTTTTCCCTCTCAACTCTTCCTTGATGCAATTTTCAAAAACCTGGAATGTAAGGTGCTAGGTTAGAGAATAATAATGATGTATGCGATTATATTTTCATAAAAGACTTGCATACATGGGTGATTATGACACTCATCATAGAAAAAAGGGGGTATATTCAAAATTAGTACGCTGGAACCGTGTAAATGAAACGTGGCATCATTATTATAAAGGTCGGAAAGAAATTAGCAAGTTACCATTTTATTTTTCATCAAGTACTATTCATCAACAAAGATTCATTCACTAGAAGGTAGGACACCAAGACATGTTAAGGAAAACATTTCCACAGTGACTTCATGTCATAGATATCTTACAGCTGAGGTCTTAATGGTATGATATTCATCTATTTGAAGGATAAGGTTTGTAGATCATGGAATTCCATGAAGACATTGATAAAGGTACCCCCTTTTAGTTCTACTTTTTTTTATTCTTTCTACCCTCTTTCATGTGCAATGGCAATATTATAATCTTTTCAAAAATATTCATATTAAACATAGATTTACCTCTCGACCAACATGAGTATCTAGAGCACTTAAAGGGTCATCGAATATGTAGACATCTGAGTTTGAGTACACTGCTCTAGCCATTGAGACTCTTTGCTTTTGGCCGCCACTAATATTCACTCCTCTTTCGCCGATCTCAGTAAGATCACGACCCTAAGAAACAGCAGGAGAAAATAACACAAATATAAGTTCAACCCATTTAGAAAGAAAGAAGTAACATACATTGCTTGATTCTACTTGGATGCTAAAGGTCAGTGAAACTTAACAGGCAGAATATCAAGGTCATGCTCCAATGCAGTTACTGCTACAGCCTTCCAATATCGTGAAGCTTCAAATTTTGATCCAAATAATATGTTTTCACGTACCTGCAGACATATATTTCAATGGCAGGACATGCAAAATTGTAAAAATGGGTATTTAATTAAAAGAATAAGGCTACATGAGATATGATATGATGTTTGATACACACACACAAAAGAACAGCATACAACAACTTACTGTAGCATTAAATATCCACGAAATTTGAGGGACATATGCAGCCGTTCCTCTGATGGTAACACCGGCATCTTTCAAAGGAGGAAGCTCACCAAGCATTGCTGAAATAAGGGATGTTTTTCCTTCTCCTGTACCGCCTACGATTGCAACTAAGCTGCCAACTGGTATATCTATATTTATATCTGCTAATGTTGTTTTTGAGGTCTGTCAAATAAAAAAAAATGAGAAATCCTTTGGAATACGAGAAAAAAGATGTATGAAACTCAATGGACTGAGCAATCACCGCATAAATAATGTCACCCACCATATGATAGCAAGTAAACAGGTAACTTCTGATATCTTTTAGTAATCTACAGCTAGTTTTCTTGTTAGCAAGACCTGCACAATTACCCATTCGGGATTTTGATATTTAAAGAATCTATGCAACAAAGAATGGATTATTTTCCTCAGTTCAGTTGAGATATTTGATTATCCACCCGTCACTTCTATGTGAAGCCCTTGCCCTCCTCTTACCCATGATTAATCAAATCTTGGATATACTTCATTGTTTACATTTTTCCTCAATTTAAACAACAAATAAATAAATTTCTCAGTGGCCACGGAACTAGCACGAATATCTCGATGACACCACTACCATAGGTAGTCTGGTTATTGAGATGATGAAACACTAAGTTCGGAACATTTCTATTTAAATTCAATATAGTTCCATACACCAATTGCATTAGGATATAGGAATAGGACAACTATATAATTTGGTCAAGAAAGCACCTTTATGATTTTATTAGGTTTAACCTTTTTCCTTCATTCTCCACTTTATGGGTTCCACCTCCATTTCTCCCTATAACTGGTATATAGACACACAACCACAGCTTCATTTCTCCTTGGACAACATAAATGGAATTCATTAAAATGTTATATGGCCAAATAAACAGAGTGATATTTTCAACCCGCAACCTCCTTTGCCCTCAATTTATTCCCGTTGATGAGAAACGATATGGTCAAGTTTTATCGATAACCATTTCTTGCATGGTCTAGAATTGAATCCTAGCATCCAAATAGTCCACAACATCCCCTGCTGCCATAAGTTGTAGCTTTCACTCCATCTAGTTCTACTATGCGATCACAGAGGTTCTCCGCCTTGTCCTCTTCTCTTGGAGTTATCATGAAGGCCTTACAAAGTCAGAGGAGCAGTCACGAAGAGAAGAAAACCCTGTAAAGTCGTTGAAACCATTGCAGAAGGTATCTGATAGCCATTGTTGGTGACAGAATCTAAGGTTCCAGCAAAGGCTTCCGGAAGACATAGCTAAAGGTTAAAATGACTCCACAAAAAAAAGGTTTAACGACTTTAAAACTCGTCGTCAACATTTAGGTTTTCAATGTACCGTGTAAGAGATACCTTTGGACTTGGTGGTGTGATTTGATGATTTGATTAAGGCTTTGTCAGTGACTTTGGTTCTGACCTAATCAACACTTTCACAGTCAACATGTGTCAAACACCCTCAAATGACTTGGTGAATGAGCTTGACAAATGTTTTTCCTTGAATTCAGAACTAGATGTTTTGATAGAATGCCAAGAAAATATGTGGTTGAACATTCCATTTGAAGCAGAAATACGTCAAGAGAAATAGATGTTTGAAGAAGAAATTCTGGTAAAATATCAGAATGATGAATCACGCAGAGGTGGTTTTATGAGTTTCCATTGTAGCTACTGACATAAAACCAACCTACTCACTATATCTGCAACTAATTATCTGATTCACTTATACATTGATTTATCTGTTCTTGTATTTCTGGCTTTATTTTATGTGTTGTATTCTGTTATCTTGTTAATGTGGCCAAAGCTAAAGCAAAGGAAGGTGCTCACGAGTTGATTATCATAACATGCAAAGCATGTAAAGAGGTATTCACTGATTCCTCGGAACAGCTGAGGAAGAGGGTTGGCAAAAAAAGGAGGTTTTAGCCAGAAATGTCATGAAAGAAAATAGTAGTGGACTGGCCTGTTTGGGAGGAAGGATTTTCCAATGGCCTAAAAAACGTGCTAACTCACCTGTGACTGTAGAGTTATGTAGAACTTTATATATATAGGTATATATATGCACACATATATATAGGGTAAGTAGTTAGTATATAATATGTTCCATTAGTCAATAGAAGCGAGTGAGAGAGAGAGAGAGAGAGAGAGAAAGGGGTGAAGGAGAACCTCTGAATCCCATGAAAAGTAGCCATTTTTTATCGAGATTGCAGGAAGACCTAGTTCAAGAGGTGGATTGGGCAAGAGAATTCTCTCTTCAGCTAAAAATAGTTCCTCCAGACGCTGTAACGATACATACGCATTGACAGCCTACAAATAACCATAAAAAAAAAGCAGAAACTCTAAGATATCATGGATTCATAGGGCAACAGCTATCACGGATCAAAACAAAAGCTTCTGACAGCCTACAATACGCAGGTCAGACGGAAAAACAACTACAGGCGAAGGTCAGGATTATTTTATGGACAAAAGAAACATCCATGCTGACTAGTGTTTTTCCCTGAAGACATGAGAAATACATATGAATTAGTCAAAAGAGAGAACCTGAGTTATTAAATTAGGAAGTGTGTTTAAAGGAGTTCGTAGCACTGTAAATAAGGAAAGTGACGTGAAAGCCCTTGCAGGTGTCAAATCTCCACCAAGCATCGTGAAGAAAGCAAATGAAATCACAGCCACAAGAACCGGAAGACTGTTCAGTATGAAATTGTTCAACTGCAAGGTAGAGAAAGCAAAAAACCAATTTGGGGATTATTACACATGACTTGGTCAAACATACAAAATTAACCTTCTGAAATAAAATCCATGAATATTTTTGGAACTGTTTGCTTATAAAAAATTATGAATTGAATTAACCTTCTAAACTATGCACATCTCTATTTTATAGTTCTAGTTTTCTAATTCCGATTTTAAGTAAATAATATAAACATAGGTTGACAAACTAATGCTTTTATAATGTTTTCAGATCGAGATACAGAGAGGCTATGGAATCTGATTCAAATTGGGAGTTAATTACTATCACCAAAATTCCTTAGGCTTAAGCTTAACCATGCAACTTTGTATTACTCTGTTGGAATTCCATCTCTTGGTACTATCTCAGTTATAAACCCTAATACACAACACAACTTTTCTATAAGTAAGGATTTGAAATTATAGATATATAAGGCAACTTAAGCAGATATTGTAGCTAGAAACATACAGATCATTAATTAGAATTGATGTATAAATGTAAATTGCTGCTCACCGCTCCCAATAGTTGTGATTTCCATAACCATAGAAGCTCATCTTTCCTAATATTTTGGACTTTAGATTGAAAACTTTGCTCCCATGCATAACATCTGCAAGTATTGCAAAACAATAAGAATTTTACCAGCTACAGAAGTTAATTACCAGAAGCAATCATTGTATGGGAATACATACTTTACAGTCTCTATTGCAGCCAAAATTTCACTCATTAATCCAACTCTTCTGTCAGTGTACTGTAAGCCTTCCTTAGCTAATCTCCGCATGTTGCTGACAATCATCGTCTATTATCAGCAGAAAGTACAAAAATGGTAAGAACAATGTTATCTAGTACACACAATACTCAAACTGTATTATACATTCAGAATAAACATGAAACTCATTTCAGTGAGTAGCAAATTCTTTACATATCTATAGTCAAATGTTTGTGCAAGACGATCACACAAGGATAGAAGCAAGAGAAAGGACAGTGCAAAAATAACAATGATGAAGATAGTAGCTTTTAAGGCAAACACTGAGAAGTAATTGTTTGAGGTGGCAATTGATGGAAGGCCTTTTCTAAAATATTAGCTACATGTTCTCTCTTTCTCATATGGTAAGCCAATATCCATCAACCCTCCATTACCTTTGGTCATTTCATGTTGGAACCAAGTCTTAGCTTCAAGTTGTTCAGTAAAACCTAAAGCTTCTCATGCGAAATATATACTTATCAGGCTTTTATATGTTCACGATATCTTCATATAGCAACACTAAATGTGAAGACAGAATGTTCTGATTGCCTCTTCAGTGTGAAAAGAGGGCAGATTTTTAACAACCACCAAATTTACCATCAAACTTGCCACAATTCTTTGTGTATAAAAAAGAAAAAATGATGGTATACTAGCCCTAATATAACAAAACATTCAAAAAGAGGATGTATATATAGAGTACATTATCCTGGGATGATTTCCAAGCAATTAAAAGAACTGAAATTACCTGTACAGGGAACATGAGAATTAAAAGCAGAGAACCCACTAGTGAAGCGACCCCAAGTTGTTGGTAAAGAAGAATCATGGCAAGCACAATTCTGAATGGGGCTGACCATAAGCCATGAAGTTGATTGCATACTTGCTGAGTAGAGCAAAGACCTAGTTTAGCAAATGGAATACTTGTATACAAGCATCAATTATGATTGAGAATTGAGAGTGGAAGTTGCAACATATGCAGCACATTCTTTATTGCATTTCTTTTTGAGCTTTTTCAGTTTATGATGAGATCGTACAAATCCAGCCGTCCACCAGAAGTTCCTAAACCTAAGGACTATAGACCCTTGTGCAGTACACTATTAATTTTACTTATGAAAACGTATTATCACGAGGCAAGAGAGTATTTGTCAACTGGTTTTCAAAAAGTTCACTCGTTCATAATTTTCATAACATGAAGATTAAGTAAGCACCTGGCTAACAACTTTGTGTAATATATACATACCTGGAGAGCATTAGCATCTGTCGTTATCATATTCGTAATTTTTCCCGATGCAACATTCTTTCGGGCTTCATTGGTTAGCCTTAAGGATTTCCGAAACACAGCAGCCACCTATAACAATATACATCACTGAGTTTGTGGCTAAGAATAAATACCATTGTCACCATATCCATCCAAAACTAGAAAGGAGTATTACCAATAATCGAGCACAAAGAACATGTTAAATACCCTTCCCCTGTACATTGGAAAGCTCTAATCCAATTGTTCATTCGATCTGCTATTAACGAACTTGTAGCAAGTAAAGATATTCTAATATTCTGATAAGGAACTTACCAAAATTGACCTTATTCTGAACCCGACCCTTGCAACATTCTGAAAGTATTGAGCTTCACAGAGAACTCCTAATGACTGAATGTAGTACAAATAACAGTTGACTATTGTTAGCAAATATATTAATATTCTGACCACAACCTTTCTACATCTTTTCCTATATGATTTCTCTCTTTTTTCGATTAGTTCTTTTAGCAAATGTGAAATTTGAAAGCACATAAACAAGCATATGAGATACGTCTTACAACATACCACGCCAACAAAAATTGAGAAGCCATAGATGTAGCCAATCCATGAAGGATCACCTCTTTGTAAGGACTGCGAAAAAGTTAATCATGTCAACTACAGGTTGCCGAGTGCCTATATCATAATACCGGATGTAAAGTTCATACCCTGAACATTTCTTAAGAATATACAGCTACATGTTCTAGAAAATACTACACTAATCTAGTAAACAACTTTCATACTTCACCATTAGACCAAACGTTTACTCTATTTACCCTCCCATGAGAAAAATATCAAAACTTGCTCCATGAATGAATTAGATATATGTATAGAAGTTGCAAAATATGATAATAACTAAAAACTATATACAGATCAAAAACATTTGTTTAACTTGTGCTATATTAATAATATAAATGAATTAATTTTAATTTTAAATAACTAGCTGGGCTACCAACCAGAAAGTTTGTGGTTCTGAAAAAGCAAAGAACCAGTAGTTGTCAATATGTAAAGGTGAGTTTATAGTTTACAAGAACCTTAAGGTTTTATTGGGTGTCTCCTTTCTTGAGATATTGAGTATTTGTGGGTGGTCACGATTCATAGAAGGAGAAAAGGTAATTTTGATTCTGAAAATATAACATATTATAACAACAGTCAATATTAAATTTTAAAACAATCATTTGCCAGAATCATAGAACTAAGTGGGTGTCTCCTTACAAGAAATATGGAGTCAAATTGGGTTCCACACAAATGAATTATTTAATACAAATACAAAAGCATCTGTAAATCATAGTGATGGGTAGAAAGAGAAAACATCACAAATTGAGGATAAGAATGTAGATAAGAAAGACAAAAGAATCACGATGTAATTATCGCTTCTGCATCAACACAAACTTGAGTGAAAAACTGAAATTTGCTAAGTTAGTTATCAGTATTAGACAGGATATCTATTGCATAGTTTCATTATGATATCTTGAATGGAGAACTACAAAATCAGCTATAGCAACTTGGCTTTCATTAAATTATCTAGACCTGTCAGACCATAGACGTATTACATATATTTGCTGGTCATTCTCAATAACAAACTAACCCTTTTTTGGTCACTTCCTTCTACAATCAGAAGAATTACATTGTTGGGTGTTGTTTAAGTTTTTAATAGAGATTTGCGAGTTCCTATGTTCTGTTTATATATTTCTAAATACGTATTATAAAGTCAATTTGAATAAAAAGAATCGATATATACACACATACGCACATAGAGTACAACAAAGTGATAACATGCTTATAGATACAAAAGAGAGAGAAAACTTGATTTTGCAAGCACCAGATCCACACATATGAAGGTCCACATTAGTGTCTTTCTTTCCTTTCTATATATATCAGAAGAATGTCATGGTAAAATGTCAACTATGTGGATTAATATATAAAAGATTCTTAAGTACACTTTCACAATGGCTGCACAAGTACTGTTTACATTCCCAGACAACGGAGGAGGGAGTGTCTATATCAAACATATGAACAAAGAATCAATCCATCAAAATCCAGTATCACCAACATGCACTTGAGAATAGTTGTAGCTTTCAACTTCACAAGTTCATTTCTATAGAAAGTAATAATAAATACTAAAAATTAGGAGAAAAGAGCTAGTAAACAAAATTGCAGCCATGTACAAGAATATGTCACTTAATAAATCCATCATTTAGCTAATAATGGATTGTGAAGATGGAACATGCCTGTAGGAGATAGCTTAATATAACTGGTCCCACAAACTGGGAAAGATCATTGCCCACCTACAAGTAAAATGAGGTTTGATAAGTTCAATATCAAGACTAAGAGTTTGCATCTGGCTTTTTATCTATCTTTCTATGGATGTGTGGATGTATGTAAACAGAAAGGAAACATATACAATGGCAAGACATATGCCAGAACAAAAAGTAGGTGATGTACTGTCAGTGTCATTGAAGACCAACATTACTATTCCTCCTCACCTCTTCCATTTAGAACATCAGGCCATTTGGATCTAGCAAAACATTTTACAGCTGAATTCCCCTAATGTACATATTGTTGTCAAACATATGAAATTATAATTGATTCTTCCAGAAACTATATATAATTTTTGCGAACATGGAAATGCATTATTAGGATCTTGCCTGACTTGACTGTATCAAGCAATTCAATATTTTAAGTCTAAGTGATAAATTAAGGGAATGAATTCTTTACTTTGAAAAGGCCTCCAAACCAGAACCTGCAGAGAACAACCAACAGCCATTAGTTAAATAGAAATGCTGGATTCTAATGGCATAACTCAATCATGTTTCTTTAGACAATAAACATCTCATCATGGACAAAGTGGTACCTTCCTCCAACACAGTTATTCAGACAGAATAAAAGCCATGGTTTTGGCTTCTGAGATTCTTCTTCCCAACATTTTTGGAACCTACAAGTGGTAACAATTAGTCATCTTAGACAACCCAAAGAAAGAAAAAAAGAATTAATTACATGAATTCACAGAGCTACAAACTTTCTGCTAAGTATCTCAGCCTGGTCCCATGTGTCTAACGTCCAGACATCTTTTTCTGTTATAGGTTTTCGGTAGCCCTGCTCCATAAGGGGAGTCATCCATCCAAAATATATTCCTTCCATAACAATGATGCACCACATTATCAGTAAGCAATTTAACACAAAAAAACATATATTAGTTTACATCATAAATTTGTGATTAACTAGAATGACTTGTTTAATAGCAATATAGGCACAAGCAAAGAAACCCCTCTTCTTTCCATGCAAGATTGTTTCAACTCGGAATATAATTTGGTTACCCAAAAACAGAACAGATGAACAGCTCAGAAGCAATTCATTTCCACTTCATAGTTAATCATCATCCATCGCTCCAAGATAGTTCCTCTCAAAATCAATACAGTTCAGGCTCAAATCATCCAATGATTCTTTTTCCCTCTGTCTTTCAGGTAAGTAGACAAAATATATGATATTCACTCTTTATCATTGGGGCTTTGAGCCTATAGTTGAAATAGATAGTAGCTTATAGGGCAAGAGTTTCCACTTATGTGTTCTAAAATATAACCATGGAGGATAGGTCCATCCTTTAATCCATCATTTGGGAGCACAACAGAGAGAGTCTTATGGATAAAAGTACTTACTTGAAAATATGTTAGCATTCCTCTCTGGACAAATATGTTCTCCTCCATGAAGCACTTCATACTTGATGTCATCATGAGCCTCAGTTTGAAGTGGCATATATCCCAGGTAGGCATCCAAATTTGGTATGTAAGCAAAAAGAAATACTCCAAATAAAGCCTGCATGACAATCCATCATGCATAAGGAAGCAATAAACTTATTATGGTCATAAATGGACCAGCAGACCTAGTTCATTTCCTCTTTCATAATTTCACATTTTTGGTAAATGTGCCGATTAGATCAGCGTATATGAATTAGCCATCTAATTACCAAAATTATGATTTTCAGTGATTGCTGAAGCTAGTCTTAGGCTTCAAGAAAGATACAAACGAATAATAAACACAACCAATTGTTAGCTTCGTATCATCATTCATTTTAGCAGAGTACTTTCCCAGATTGCAATTCATCAAATGATTGTAACATATATGATGTCAAACACGTATGAGATTCGTGGGTTATTGGCGTGAAAATTGAAATGGTACAACAATAACATATACAGATAAACAATAACAGTTTTAAAATAAGAATGTGAAGCAGCATCCTAAGCTTAGAGTTCCTCGGAGGCTTGGATATTTGCTTCACAATATGTGTGTTTCATAGCAAAGAAAAGAAACATTCTGTTGTGACAACAGTGCACTCAACATCTTTAAACAACACATTTTCTTTTGTATATTACCTACAAGTTTCAAATAAAATTGATTCAATCTTTTCTAAATGCATAAGGTAACAGAGAATCCATACTAGACTTGTAGGTTGCTGATTCAAAGAACAAGATGTTTGTACCAGCAAAGTCTAGTTATATGTACATCCTTCACCAAGCTCACAAATATATATATATATATATATAGCCATATGAGACTAACAAACCCTCTAAACATAATTCAAAAGAGATACATAACAAACCTGGGAGAACAACGAACTGATGTACACATAGAGTACAGATCTGCATAACAAAATACAATTGTGAGTGCATGCATTCCAAATAGACTAAATTCAGTCACCACCTCCTTCAATATCCAGGACATAATTGAACTGAGAAGGAAGTGATTAGAATAAAAACTTTTAATATCCTAAATTCTGCAAACACTTATTTTCCATTATATGTTTTTTCTTCTTTTTTGTTTGATTACATGGAATGTTAGGCTTCTATCATTTTGTTTCTCCATACCTCTAATGAAATCGCCCGTCTCATCCAAGTCTCTTCCTTGTGGCAACATGACAGAAAAATTTGCTTCTATAATAACTTTATATGATTCAATCATTTATGAGCTAGACCCCTATAGCATTTGTGATCTAAGAAATTGAATAAACTGACTCAATGGAGAGCACCTATCATATACATCTAAGCTACTTGATGGCATGCTACTATTTATGATTTCCATTAATATGCCATCATCATTTATTACGTCCTTGAAACTTGTCCTTCGAAATTATGTGCTATTCCTGCTTAAACATGGATATGAAAGCTTAATATATCAATATACAAGCAGGAGACGTACATCTAAAATGTAAGTAGTTGAAACAAGCAAAGGAAGGGATACCGACCTTGGGTATAAATCTTTTAGTGAGAGAATGAAACTAAGTTTCACAGTATCCCCAACCAAGACGTATATTACACCAAATCGGACATACCAGCGAAACTCTCTAATATACACTTTAGTTTCCAAAAGAGTCATAATCACCAAAGAGCTCCAAACAAGGGTCTCAAGCATAAGTGAAACCACCTGCATGAAGGCATGGTACTAAACATCAAAAACCTCTCCTGCTACATTTTCTTTTCATCTTTTTTGTTTTTGTCTTCACTTATTTGCATATGGTATTAATCCATCTAGAAAACGTGTATCATAGGGTACCAACTGTTAGATATATTAGTATTTTCACTAGGGTTCTATTCCTCTATTTGTTTGTGGCCATATGACTCTTTTAGAGTTCAGGGTTTTGCACTCGGTAATATACACGTTCTTCAAATACAAGTACTGTCCTTGTATTGACCATTGCTCCAAGCTTATGAAGCATCTAAGACAGTTAAAGCTATGATGGGAAAGCAAAAAGTTCATTCGAGGGTAAAATTTTCATTCAGAAAATTAAGAAGTGTAATAATTACATATTTCTAAAAACTTTGTACCTTTTTCATGGTGGACATTTATGTTGGGACTGAGGGAGTAAGACACATGACTGAATAAGTAACCACATTACAGTGCATTTAAATACATCTTCTCATCAAGGCCAAGTGTATTATTTTAGCTCCCTATTTCTCACACCATACTTAAGCAGATTTTTTTTTATGATTTGCACAAATGTAGAGAACGTGTGAGCAAAGATAACACATATAAAGCTTCTTCCTGTTGTTGTACGAACAGAAAATAAATGCAAGAGCGTCACATATACAGCAAGGATGTAGAAATATCTGAACCTACATAACAAGATTGAGAAGAAAAATATACCTCAAATGGAGCAAGGCTACTTTGTCCATCCAAGTCAAACATAGAAACACCAAAAAGTAATCTGAACAAGGACTCTGCAGCACAATAACCTGCTAAAAAGACCAACATATAACTATAATACTTTGACCGTAAGCAGAACCTCTGGACTCTAAAGTCTTTCATGATCAGCCATAATCTGTATAAGCACAAGCCCATCAAAACTACATTTGATATACAACCCACAACAGATTCAATGCCACATGGTGTATAAGCACCAAGAGCACTAGCTGTTGTCTTTGCCCAAATGCCATTTTCCTCTGGCCGGCAAAACCAAACCAGTGGCTCAAACCCCATGATTTAAACTTCTCAGAATTGAATTATGGTACTATTTCACAGAACTCCCACCTGAAAAACAAGAATACCCCAATTATCAATTCAGTACTTCAGTTACATTAAACCCTACAAACAAAATTAGTTCACTTACAGAGCAAATAGTGAAAAGTTATCAGTTTCATGGGGCCAAAAGTGCCGCCAGAGTGATCTCAATTCCACAGTTGAAGTCCACCTTGCAAACAGATTATATACGAAGAAGGTCAAATGTTGGCCCATATGAAAAGGGGACCCTGATTTTGGAAGAGGGATGAAACAATGACTAGTCGTGTGATCGTCACTGCTTACGAACAATCCCAGAAAGGGCATGACCAAGAATCTTTAGTAGGACAGATATATAGGGCCAACAATTTTGGCTGCTGGTGAAGCATCTGTATCACTAGATCTCCGTTTGTGCGCAATTTATCAAGGGAACGGCGGGTAGAAGATTCTCTGAAACAACACCAACATTTGTCGTCTGTTATGAAGTCAAATCCTTTTTTCCCTCGTTCCCATTTTTTTTTCCGGAAGGCAACATATTCCCATGGACTAAATTTTAGCAGTGGACCCCTGTATATTGTCAGGAGCATCAACAATGGAGGTCGTTGTCTGAACTTTCTTTTTATAACAGTGATGGGGTTATTATTGTTAGACCATCCACATCCCTACAATCCATTTAAACTTTTAATTGTGTCACATTAGTTTTTGCAATTATCTTCTATACATTCATTTAAACTTTTAATTGTGCCACATTAGTTTTTGCAATTATCTTCTATACATCTGCAATTCACCTACAACATTTTCAACTATGTCACGTCAGCTTTTGCAATTACCACCTACACACCTGCAATTCACCTACACTTTCAAAAGTGGTCCCCACTACAACATTTATTAACTATTTTATAAATTATTTATATATACATTCTAATTATTTTTTAATTAATAACATGTTTTATTTTAATTCAATGTTAATTAAAACGATTAATATATGATATAATATAA